CATCATCAACATCAGAGCAGAGCTGAATTAATGAATGAGATGAAAACAGCTGATCACGTACTATCATAAACACCAACACACACACGCACGCACACAATACACGTGGCCTCGTCTAGACAAGTCTCGTATGTTGGCGGAAGGCGGACCAGCTGATCATTCTTTACCTCCCTCCTCCTTCTCCTGTTTCTCTCTGTCGCTCTCTCTCTATCTATCTGTTTGTCTGTCTGTCTGTCTATCTGCCTCTCATCATACCCCCTCTCTCTCTCTCTCTCTCTCTCTCTCTCTCTCTCTCTCTCTCTCTCTCTCTCTCTCTCTCTCTCTCTCTCTCTCTCTCTCTCTCTCTCTCTCTCTCTCTCTCTCTCGCTCGCTCGCTCGCTCGCTCCCCCTTGATTAATACAACCCTTAAACAAGACAGAGAGAGAGAGAGAGAGAGAGAGAGAGAGAGAGAGAGAATGAAACCGAGAGAGAAAAAAACAAGAAAGAAGAAGGGGGAAGCGGGGAGGGCTAGACTGAGAGATGACCCAAGGTTTTTCCATGGCCTTGTGACCCTTTCTCCCCCATGACCCCGCCGACCTCCCCTCGTGACCTTGCAGGGGACTCATAAAGCTTGCCGAGTGACAGGTGTGTGAGGGGAGCAGAGGGTGAGGGGAAGGTAGAAGGGGAGAGTGGAGAAGGAGAGGACGAAGGGGAATAAGAAGAGGGCGAGGGATGACGAAAAATGGAATTAAGGAGGAAGAGAAAATGGGATTTAAGATGAGAAAAAAATAAAGATAAGGAGGAAGAGAAAATGGGATTTAAGATGAGAAAAAAATAAAGATAAGGAAAACGGGATTTCAAATCAAATAAGGAGCAAAGATAAAGAAGAGAGGTTTAACATAAGATGAAAAATATAGATAACGAAATGGGAATTGAGATAATTATATCATTATTCAGAAAGAATGATGATTATGTTAACAGTAGTAACTGTAACCATAAAAAAATAATAAAAAGACCTATAACAGTAATAACAATAGTAACAACAATAATAAAAGTAGCAACAATAATATTTACAGCAATTATTAATTATGATCATAACTTTGATAACATGATAAAATATTGATGATAAAAATGATAATGATAATAATAACACTGATGATCTTAGGAATAGGAATAATGATAATGAGCAACGACGAAAACAACAAGAAAATCAACAAAATAATGATAGTAATGATAACGAAAATAATTCACTGTCAGAGGCAAGACAGAGAAGAACGGGGTTGGCCGTGTTATCAAAGGCAATAATTTCTTGCAAGGTGACACCGCCATTGCAGAGGGAACCATCTGCATTCTCTTATCAAAATCTTTGGTGTAGTGTTCCTTCCATGAGGCTAATGACTCCTTTCCTATCATAATTAGATCGTTAATCTTTACAGTATTTTCCTAAAGTGTGTTTAAGAGTTTCCATAATAATGAGGACGACATTTCTGGTAGTCCTTTAACGCTATTGCTATTACTATTACTGTTACAACTACTCCCAATACCATTGCTATTATCTTTAGTACTAGTATCAATATTAACGCCATTTTTATTTCTAATGCAAAATGTGTCTTGCGTCTTTTGTCACAATTCATCTCTTAACCTAAACTTTAATATGCGTTTTATGCACTGTACATGCAATGAACTTAGTCTAAGAACCGCTTTATGAGACTCTTAAAACGGCGTTTAGTGCGAAATTCATAACAAACAGAGGGAGGTTTAGACCTTGACGCCCGAGTCTCTATTAAGCACTGAAGGAGATCTATCTCTGAATTCTGAGTCAAAAGCTAAATCCAATCAAGTTCTTACGCGCGCTGTGCTATCGCCTCTAAATTTACGTTGATCATCGTTCTTAATCGAGGTAATAAATTCCTCAGGAGTGACCTTAAGAAATGACTAGAATGGCTCCTTCCCCGCGGCCGCTCGCCCGGCAGCGACCATCTGGCCGCCGCCGCCCCGATTCGCATCACGAGGGCTCATCGGCGACGGAATGTTGATGAATGGCTGCTTTAGCGCCGTTGCCGCGGCTCTCGGATTTCGGATTTGCTCTCGTATTTTCCGGACATGCTTCGTTGTTTTTTCTGGAAGCTGCGGCCGCTCCCGGGAGGTGGCGGCCGCGCCTGGGGAAGCCCCGGGCGAGACTGCTCTCGCTCTACGGTCAGGGAAGAATAGCTATTTCCTGCAACAGCTGGTCACTGGGTCTTCCTGGGTTGGTCCTTTGGTTACCATGACTATATATATAATATATATATATATATATATAATATATATATATATATATATATAATATGTATATATATGTAAATATGAGTGTGTGTGTGTGTGTTGGTTACCATGAGGTATATATATATAATATATATATCTATCTATCTATCTATCTATCTATATATATATATATATATATATATATATATATATATATATATATATATACATATATGTATATATATGTATATATGAGTGTGTGTGTGTGTGTGCGCTGGCGCGTCTGTCTGTCTGTCTATCTATATTTGTAGTATCTCTCTCTCTCTCTCTCTCTCTCTCTCTTTTCTCTCTCTCTCTCTCTCTCTCTCTCTTTTTCTCTCTCTCTCTCTATATATATATATATATATAATATATAATATATATATATATATATATATATATATACATATATATATATATATATACATATATATATATATATATATATATATATATATATATATATATATATATATATACATATATATATATATATATATATATATATATATATATATATATATATATATATATATATATATATATATATATATATATATATATATATATATATGTGTGTGTGTGTGTGTGTGTGTGTGTGTGTGTGTGTGTGTGTGTGTGTGTGTGTGTGTAAGTACTGTTGTTGACTGAGAACATCAATTCATGGTGTTTTCCCTGCAACGTGCCATACTTCCTTAGTCGAAATTTGCCTGACAAGATTTTTCTACCATCAGCATTTGTCCTTCCTCCCCGTGACACACACGTGTTCGAAATCATCACACTGCAACGCCTAGCCTGCGTGTCCCGAACATCAAATTTTGGTTGCAGTCAAAGATTTATAAAAAAAAATAAGAACTCTTTTTTTTCCCAATTTCCCCGACGGTGTTCTGATGTTTTCGTCTCGTGTTGACAATGGATGACTCATCGGGCAGCTGGAGGATGTCTGAAAGGGCACTAAATGGTGGGGCAGCGACCAGGTTCTTCTGTGGGAAATAATTCGCACCTCGAGCTAGTCTCTCCGTTGTTTCGAATCATATGAGCTATTCAGAGAAATTATCCACAGAACCGTTGAAGAATATTTCCATAACCACTGTTTATTCATGCTGTTGAGAGATTCATTACGAACAAGTCGTGAATAGAACAACAAAGGGAAAGTAGAATTCATATTGCTGTGCTTTGCTCATCCCCTGAAAAGGTCTTTGAGATATAAGCGTTTTCCTGCTCCTCTCTTGAAAGGACTTCAGCATATTCGATTTTTCATTCTTCTTCCCTCTAAAAATGCCTTCGACATATTCGTGCCTCTTGGTGCTCCTCCCTTAAAAGGACTTTAGCATATTCGTGTTTTCCTTCTTCTTCCCTTAAAATAAGCTCTACGACATAATCGTGCGTTTTGCTACTCCTCCCTTAAAAAAGAGATATTCGTGTGTTTTCCTTCTTCTTCCCCTAACACAAGCTCTTCGACATAATCGTGCGTTTTGTTTTCTCTTCCCTTGAAAAAAAAACATTCCTATTGTTTTCCTTCTTCTTCCCTTAAAAAGCCCTTCGACCCATCCGGGCGTTCTGCTGCTCGTCCCGCCGTCGCTTCACACGCGCCCTGAACCATGTCTCGCTCCCAGCCCAGCCTCTAAGAATGCAACCGCTCTCTCGGCTTCAGCTCATCCAGCAAGGCCCTCGTTGCGTCACCCGGCGATGTCTCCGGCCGCCCGCGAGTGCTGACTCTTTCACTTCTTAAATCTGCATTATTCCCAAATTTATTCTGACGCCGGCTCTCTTCTCTGCAAGCTCGGCAAGGTCGCCCACACGTTGCACAAATGTAGCCTTTTGTAATTTTGACTCACGTCGTTTTAGATACAGAAGGGTGAATTCTTCTCCCTTTATGCACCGTGATGTTGGTTTGGTGTCCATTCATTCAGTTTTAAATAGTATTTATCCTATTAGATATTATTTATACACAGAGAATGTCGCGGGATCCGTTGACGCTAGAGGAAATATGGAAATGAAAACGTTTCCTTATTGAGTTGTGTATAATTTCGTTGTCTTCTTTTATGGAAATATAATTGCTTATCTGCAGAATCATACGAATTAACGAGAAATAATAAAAAAGAAAATAATGACGACAACAGTACCAACAGTGACCAACAACAATGATAACAACAACAATAATAATAAATAAAAATTAGTCAAAATAATTAAAAATAAACACTACTGCTGATAGTACTACTACTGCAACTATTACTTTTTCTAGTATACTACTACTACTAGACTACTACTGCGAATGATGCAATTTATAACAATAATAGGAAGAAAAAATGATGATGAATAAATAATAATAATAATAATAATAATAATAAATAATAATAATAATAAATAAATAATAATAATAATAATAATGATAATAAAATTAATAATAATAATAATGAATAATAATAATAACACAATAATAATAATAATTACACTAAAACAGTAATGATAAAAAGGATCATAATAATGTTAATAATAATAACAATAATGAAAATAATAATGAAAGTAACATGACAACAACAACTACAGCAAAACAACACCACCACAACAATAATAGTAATAACAACAAAAACAACGATTACAATGACTAAGAATGTCCTTATCGCTCTCCTCTTCCCCATTCCCGCGAGCAGCAGCAGAGCCGCAGGACGCCCCGCAGGACGCCCCCGCAGGACGCCCCCCCAGCGCCCCAGCCCAACAGCCTCGGCCCAGGTACTCACCAGGCCCCTGCAGGCGGAGATCGCGACCCTGGAGTCGGAGTGGTTCCTGACGAAGCCGTGGTAGTGGCAGGACGGCTCGTGCCCGATGACCCTGAGGGAGGAGGAGGCGAATCCCTGGTCACCCCTTGGGTCCTCCCGCGCGCCCCCGGGGAAGGAGGTAGGACCCCGCCCCCTCCGCCGCTCCACCACGGCGTGGGGCGCCAGGAAGCGGCCGTTGGGGCGGAGGGTCACCTGGGGGAGAGGAAGTGAGGGGTTCATTAGGAGGGGGAGCTGGATGTATGTGTAGTGAGTGTGTTTCTAATCTATAACGCACGATTTTTTATTGTTTGACTGAAATTATGCTCAATTGATTTCCATGTTTGGGAACTTGAACGCGTGCGTGTTCGCGCTGCGTTTCCGCGTGTCCACGAGCTGGTGTGCGTGGCCGTGCGAGCGCGTCTGCTGCGATCACGCCTGTTCCCCCTCGTCAGTCAGCCGACTCGCCTGATGTGCGTCGCGATGAGATAATGAACCTCCTCGTGATCCGAGCGAACGTGGGCGGCCCTCTTGCTGCGGGCGTGGGCTGGGGGCGGGTCGTGAGCGCTGTCGAGGCGGTGGCCCAGGAACCGGCCGTCGCGGTCCACTCGCACGGGCGTCACCACCTCGTGTCCGCCGAGGCTGGCCACGTACTCCGCTGGCGAGAGAGGCAGGGGGAGGGGGGTGAGTGAGGTGAGGATAAGCATATGGGGGCTGTCTTGGGGATAATAATGATGATGATAATGAAAAAGATAATAATGATAATATATTGATGAAATAATGATTAATTGATAATGATATGATGATGGTATTGATAATAATTATGATGATGGTATTGATAATAATTATGATGATGGTATTGATATTAATTATGATGATGGTATTGATAATAATTATGATGATATTAATGATAATAATACTGATAGTATTGATGATAATAGTATTGGTAATAATAATCATATTAATGATAGTATTGATAATAGAATTGCAACAACAATAGTAATACAAAAATAATAATAAATAGCAATAATGGATGATAATGATAATGATGATAACAATAATAATAAATAATAATAGTAATAATAAATAATAAAATAATAAATAATAATAATAATAATAATAATAATAATAATAATAATGGTAATGATAATAATATAATAATAATGTAATAATAAATAATAATAAATGAATAATAATAACATTATTATTATAATAATTATTATCATTATTACAATAATAAACCATAACAACAAGATTAATAACGACAACAACAACTATGATTATATAAGTAATATGAAGATGTGGTGAAGATGTGCTAATCACATGTGCAAAAACGGTCATGTGACGACTGCATAAAAAAGTTCATGACTAAAGATGTTTTTGACAAAGTTGATGAAAAAATAATGGGAATAATTATGGTATGGATAGCACTACTGCCACCCACTGTCATCACCAATAGGAATGGCAATGGTGATGGTGGTGATGATGATGATCATGATGATGATGATGATGATGATGATGATGATGGTGATGATGGTGATGATGATGATGATGATGATGATGATGGTGATGATGATGATGATGGTAATGGTAATGGTGATGGTGATGGTGATGATGATGATGATGATGGTGATGATGATGATGATGATGATGGTGATGATGATTGATGATGGTGATGATGATGATGATGGTGATGATGATGGTAATGATGATGATGATGATGGTGATGATGTGATGATGATGATGGTGATGATGATGATGATGGTGATGATGATGATTGATGATGATGATGATGATGATGATGATGATGATGATGTGTGAATGATGATGATGAATGATGATGGTGATGATGATGATGATGATGATGATGATGATGATGATGGTGTGTGTGTGTGTGTGCAAAAGTACGACAGCTGTAGAAAAGGATTATAACAAATTACTATCGAAATAAATGAAAGAGTCAGTAAGTTAAGTAAATAAAACTACTTTTTGCGTCACAGCCTCCCCCCCCCCCTTTGCACCTCTTCCTACCTTCCCTTGACCTCTCATTGCCCACTCACTCCATCCTCTTCTTCCTGCCCCCTCACCCAATGCCATACCCCCATGCCACCCCATACCCCCACCCCCTTTCCTTTCCCTTTCTCTCCTCTGGTTCCCTCCCCTCCCCTCCTGCCCTTCCCCTCCTTACCTCCTGCCCCCCCTCCCCCTCCCCCTCCTTCCCCTCCCCCTCCCCTCCTCCCCTCCTCCTCTCCCGTCCCTGACCTCCCTCCCTTTTTCCTTTCTTTTCCCTCCTTCCCTCCTCTTCCACCTCTCGTTCCCTTCTGTCTCTTGACCTCCCTCTATTTCCCCTCCTTCCCTTTTACTTCCCCCCTTCCCCTGCTGTTTTTTTTTTCTCTCTCTCTCTCTCTCTCTCCACCAATTTCCCTCCCTTCCCTTGCCCCTTCCTCTCCTTTCCCCTCTCTCATCTTTCCCTCTTTTCTTTTTACTTCCCTCCTGCCTCTGCTTTCCCATTCCCCCTCCTATTCCCTCCCTTCCCCCCTCCCTCCCATCCCCTCCCTCCCGTTTCCCTCCCCTTTCCCTTCCCCTCCCCCTTTCCCTCCCTCCCTTTCCCATCCCCCTTCCCCCCCTCCCAAAGCGCGCGGCCTCCCAGGGACAGAAGCAAAGAAGGCCGCCACAAGTCCCTGTGAATCCTCGTTAGCAAACATGGCGGCGACGACCAGGGCACGGGACCAGACGCCTTCACCCCCCCCCCTGCCACTCCCCCCCACTCCCCCTCGGCCACCAACACGCGCTCGGAATATTAAGCGAAGAGGGAACAATAGGTGGCAGGGAGCTTATGAAATGCTTGATAAAAAGGGGATTATAAAAGCGAAGTGGGATGAAGGAGGTGGGAAGAAAGGTAAGCGATTTATAAAAGCGGAGAGAGAGAGAGAGAGAGAGAAGAGAGAGAGAGAGAGAGAGAGAGAGAGAGAGAGAGAGAGAGAGAGAGAGAGAGAGAGAGAGAGAGAGAGAGAGAGAGAGAGAGAGAGAGAAGAGAGAGAGAGAGAGAAAGAAAGAAAGAAAAAGAGAGGAGCTACAAAAGAAGAATAAGAGAGGACAAGAAAGACTCGACGTACAGACAGAATGAGAGAGAAGAGAAGGCGCGGGGAAGAGTACCT